TTAGGACTTGCATTATATTATAAAATAATGTATCAAACTTGTCCAATATCTGGGGAAGTATACACGATGCTATGATAAATTAGTAAAATTAGTACAAAGGTTCAATTGATATTGATATGTGATTACTATAAATATATACATATTATATATTTTGGATTTTAGTGTGAACCCAACCTTACTGACCAGAATATTTTTTATTACTTCTATTGTTACTTCCATATAATAATAATATATAAGTAATATTATTTTACTTCATTACTTCTATTCAACTTGATTTAATTCTCAAATCTTTTATACACAATTGAACTATTTTTAATACTATTTTAAACTATTTTTAACATTATTTTAAACTATTTTTAACTTTATGAACCTAACCTTGCTAACGAAAGAATTTTATATGAACCCAACCTTACTGACGAGAGAGATTTATATATAAATATATTACTTAATTAAACAATATTGATATAAATTACTAGAAAAAAATAAAAGAATGAATAATATTAATATAATAATTAATGAAATATTTTATTGTATATAAATATAAATAAATCATTAAATATCCCGATAACAATTTATTGGTAATTAAATAGTTTATATATAATTAAATGACTGGAATAATTAATAATAATATAAATGTTTTATTATATATATATATATATATATATATATGTTAAAATATTATTATCTAATTAAAAAATTATTTTACAGAATATTAAGATTTTATATATAAATATATTACTTAATTGAACAATATCAATATAAATTACTAGAAAAAAAATAAAAGATTGCATAATATTAATATAATACTTAATTAAATATTTTATTGTTTATAAATAAATATAAATCATTAAGTTTATCTAAATCATTAACCTTACTGACGAGAGAGTTTTATATGAACCCAACCTTACTGACGATAGAATTTTATATGAATTGAAAATTTGAATTTATTTTGTTTTTTTTTTTTTTAACTTTTAATTTAATTTGCTCGTCAGTAGAGTTCTTTTATAATTTTATATTTATATATTTAATTTGTTTGTTGAATTATGTATCTAGATTTTTGATTCGTTTGTCAGAGGAGTCTTTTTTCTAATTCTCTCTACATTTTAAATTAGTTATTTTGATAGTCATTTTCTATTTTTCTACCTAGATATTAAATTTTGCACGGTAGTAGAGTCCTTTTTCTATTTTTTTTATCTATATATTTAATTTTGCTCGTCAGTAGAGTCCCTTTTCTAATTTTCTCTACATTTTTAATTATCTATTTTGATAGACATTTTCTATTTTTCTATCTAGATACTTAATTTTGCTCCTCAGTAGATTTTCTTTTCTAATTCTCTATCTAGATACTTAATTTTGCTCGTCATTAGAGTCCCTTTTCTAATTCTTTATCTAAATATTTATTTTGCTCGTCAGTAGAGTCCCTTTGGTAATTCTCTATCTAAATATTTAATTTTGCTTGTCAGTAGAGTCCCTTTTCTAATTCTTTATCTAGATATTTAATTTTGCTCGTCTGTGGAGTTTCTCTTCTAATTATCTATCTGGATATTTAATTTTGCTCGTCAGTAGAGTCCCTTTTCTAATTCTTTATCTAAATATTTAATTTTGCTCGTCAGTAGAGTCCCTTTTCTATTTGTTTATCTAGATACTTAATTTTGCTCGTCAGTAGAGTTCCTTTTTTAATTCTCTATCTAGATATTTAATTTTGCTCGTCAGTAGAGTCCCTTTTCTGATTCTTTATTTAAATATTTGCTCGTCAGTAGAGTCCCTTTTCTAATTCTTTCTTTTATTTTGTTTGATCAAACGATTTCATTCGTTTTGTCCATTAGAAATTTAGTTTTCTTTTACATTTACTTCGAATAAGTCCGGCAATAGTTACAAAATAATATGAAAGTATTTATAATAATCGTATTTAATTATTAAAATTTATTTTATTAGATCATCTATAGTCAAAAATCGTCATGGAGTCATCATCGAGACAGTTTGTTGCAATCAAAATGTTTCACACATGGATAATTTGGGTACAAACACCATTACTGTAAGTTAATATTATTTAATAAAATTTAATACATTTCGTTACGGTACGGGAAGTTCCAGCAATTTGCCTTAAGGCACGATGCCACCCACCCCACTAGTTCTATTTATTATCTTCTATCAGACCTCAGAAAAAATGGACGTGTGTGTGTGTTTTGTTTTTTGTATAGCGAAGGAAATGTTTTTATTTTTCTCAGACTAGGTCTTTTGTCTGGGTATGTCGGACTCAATACCGAAAATAAATGGGATTTTAATGTCGAAAATAAATCGGATTTTAATTTTAATGTTAGCTAAAATTCCAAAGCTCACTTGTATACTTTACATAAATTATTTAAACGTTGCAATTGAATTTATATAATACTTAGAAATATGAGATAAAGTTCTTCATTCTAACTCCGGTTGATTAAGTTTAGTTTTTTTGTCATCGTCCTTTTTATAAGCTCTTCTATTTCATCTATAAGATACGAATAACGAAACTCGCAGCATTTATAATAATCTATTTGAAAACATTTAATACTTCTCGAATATTTGTTACGGTACGGGAAGTTCTAGCAATTTGCCTTAAGGCATGATGCCATACACCCCACTAGTATATTATTTTAACTTATCATTTAATTTATTTTAGTTGGGAAGGAATGATATAAATTTGAGCACCACAATTGAGCTAGAATATAGAATAGTAAATTATCGATCGAAAGGAATTGTTTATTTAAGAAATGTCCTGCAACTTCATCCGCAGCCAAATTTTAAAATGTTTCATAAACGTCAAGAACACATGGAAAAGAATTTGGATGATAATATTATAAAGATCCGTCCCAGTAAGTACTTGAATATACATATATGGATATATATATATATATATATATATATATATATATATATATATATAATTTTAGTAAAAAGTCGGGCGTTACATCAATAAAAATAGTACGAGAGTTTTTTTAGAAAATTATTCATTTAAAATCCATACGTTTCGGCTCGCATCTTAGCCTTCACTCAGTAGTAATCAATTTAACTATAAAAATTAAAACTAAATAAATATGTAAGAAATTTAAACAGTAAACTGTAGTTTTTTATTAAAATTGTTAAAATTATCGGTAACGATGCTAATGTCTTCTTCCGGAAGTAATAATATCGCATACATAGCGGAAATAAAAGATTTGTTTATTATAATTTTTAAATATTTTGTTTTCTATTAGTTGCAAGGAAGTTTCTACTAATGAGGGAGATACAACCCTTAATTCAATTTTTACACAAATTAAATCTAAGTTTAATTCTGACCGCCTCAGAATCTTGATATATCAGATTAATTGCTCTAATTGTGAACTTTTTTATATCGGAGTAACTAGCTAAAACCTGAGTTAACGCCTTCATCAACATAAAAATAACTCAAAAAATCTTAAACAATATAAAACGATGTTAACTGATCATATTAAATTAAACCGTAATATAGATTTTTTCAACCCTAAAATTTTACATTTTGAAGAGATCGTAATTAAAAGAAGATTTGCTGAGGGGCTGTTTTTGCAATTGCATAACGACAGGGTCATAAACAAACGATTCGTCAATACGGCCTTGAACGAAACAAACACGTGGTTCCTTAATAGCGTGTCAAAATTTCTTAAAAAATGACAAGATCGCTTTTTAAATTTCCCGTAAAATTTGAACACGTACTAAAAACTGCTTTAAGAAAAAGTGTGACATTTATATCTCAAACTGCGAACAGTAAATATATAGTTTCGACAACTTGTTCAGTTATCATGTTTATTAGTGTGTTTTACCATTTGTAATGTTAAAAAATATATATTTTATCAATGTGCACATACTCATACCATGGATTAATAATGGTTTCATATGTTCAATTAGGGTACAAAATTTTAAATTGATTTCCACTGAATGAAGGCTAAGATGCTAGCCGAAACGTATGGATTTTAAATAAATAAACTTTTAAAAAAACTCTCATACTATTTTTATTGATGTTACGCCCGAGTTTTAAACTCAAATTAAACATATATATATATATATTATATATATATATATATATATATATAAATAATTAATATAATATATATCTTTATAGAAAGGGAATATTTTGTCAGATTAACATTTTCTGGACCAGTAAAACACATTAGTACATACAGAATGCCGCTGGCTTTTGTATTTCAAATCGAAACGGAAAGAACATTTACGTTGATTCGTGAAATGGTAATTAAAAATTATAAGCTATTATAATATTTTATATTATATATCAATTATAATTATATAAATTATATATATTGAAGGTATAATTATAAATATAATCATACCTTGCCACTTATACATAATTCATAGGTAACTAACTGATCATTTATCGCGTGTGTCACGAAATATACTAACAAATTAGTAGATATTATATCTAAACTTAATTTATATTTTTATATTATACTAGCTGACCCGGCAAACGTTGTTTTGCCATAAAAAATATTTCTAGTGCAAAATGTTTAGTACGAAAATAACTGATTGCAAATGTGGTATAAGAAAATATATGAATAGTTTACCCACTGCAAAGCATGCCACATATAAATGTTCCAGAGTCATATTAATAGTCTTTAATAATAGTCAGTTTAAATTTAAATTGGCACATTTAAAATTTCTAGATTTTCATATATTATTACCGCGCTTTTGCATTAATTCATTAATTTTTGAATTCCGAAGCAAAATCCGATAATTCAGTTTTTAAATCATATTGTTATGTGGCCAAGCTCAGCGAATTGACTGAGATTAAAAACAATTGAGATAGTAAAAAATTTGGCAGTTTTGCCACGGGTTTGTATGATACCTATAGTTTTCTATCAAAAACTGTTGGATCTTCAGATTCCAATATTCAATATCTTTATTTTTTTTGCATAAATTGCTCTTTATGCAAACCATTTATCAACTAATACTGTTTGCGCATCGGAAATATTTGTACAATGGGAAAATGGTAAGGGTGGACAACCCTTGATAAAAATAATTTAATTTTTAAGTAAAATTCATGCTTTATCATAAGGTCAAGAAAATATGTATCAAAATTTAATAAAAAAACACTCACTGGCTGAAAACGTGGTGAAAAATTATTCGATTACTAAAATGGCTAGTATGGAATAGAGATTTGTGGAAGAAGGGTTTCTAAATCCCGCATTATGAAAATTAAAATTAGAACTAAATTGATTTCAAAATTTTTAAAAAAAGTAGGGGTGGACATCATAATAACAGTTATAAGTATTTTTCAACCCCACATTAAAAAAATTACAGTAAAGAAAATTGAGCTCAAAATGGAAAAAAAGTTATTGGACAACCCTTATTAAAAATATATTGTTTTTCAAAGTAACCTTCAAGCATTTTTATATATTCAAAAAACTTTCAACAAAAATTATGTCAAATAACAGTTCAAATTAAAATTAAAAGAAAATTGATTCCAAAATTTTTAAAAAAGGCAGGGGTTGACAATTCTTGCTAAAAATAAATAGCATTTTGAAGTAAGAAAGAGTTGCATGTATTATTCAATTCCGTATTAAAAAAATAATAATAAGTCAGCCCTTATTAAAAATTAATTGTTTTTCAAAGTAATATTTAAGCATTTTTGTAAACTCAAAAAAATCTTAACTGAAATTATGTCAAATAATAGGTCAAATTAAAGTTAAAAGAAAATTGATTTCAAAATTTAAAAAAAAGGCAGGGGTGGAAAATCATTGATAAAAATAAAGAGTATTTTGAAGTAAAAAGAATTTCATATATTTTGAATTTAAAAAAATAAAATGAACAAAATTGACCCCAAAATTAATAAACGTATTAGGGTTAACCCTTAATAATAATAAATTGAATTTTCAAGTAAGATTCAAGCTTTTTCTCCAAGCTCTCAAAAATCTGAAATAAAATTATGTCAAAAATATTCAATGACTCGCGGTATAAAAAATGATTGTAAAAAAGTAAAATCTTAGGGTTGCATGTATTTTAATGCCACATTATAAAAAAATAACAAAAAAATCAGTCCAAAAATCACAAAGAAATTAAGAGTGAACAACTCTTATCACTTAAGGATATGAACAATAGTTACCGATTCTCAGATCTACTGAATACGCATATTTCAAAAAAAATTATAATAATCGGTAAAGCCGTTTCGGAGGAGTACGCCAACGAACTTTATGATACGCAAATTCGATGTATAAATATCGTTTGAAATATGTAATTTAATACTGGTGACATCTACAGGTTGTCGTCATCGAAGATGTATCCAAAGACGAAACTGCTGAACAGAGAAATAATATTAGAAAGATATACACAGGAAAGTCTTGGATTAGTTCAGAAATTGTTCCTGCTAACCTTACGTAAGTAATTATAATCAAAAAATGTTATATTTATATTCTTTGAAGCTTACTGTGGTTTTGTTGTAAAAACTTGGTCTTGCAACCAGCTTGACATCGAGTAGCAGTGATATCATTTATAGATATTGGTCCTCGATATGGATATTTTCGATCTGAGACTACTTGCAACACTCTGAGACTACTTGCAACACTCTGAGACTTCTTGCAACACTCTGAGACTACTTGCAACACTCTGAGACGTCTTGCAACACTCTGAGACGTCTTGCAACACTCTGAGACGTCTTGCAACACTCTGAGACGTCTTGCAACACTCTGAGACGACTTGCAACACTCTGAGACGACTTGCAACACTCTGAGACGACTTGCAACACTCTGAGACGACTTGCAACACTCTGAGACGACTTGCAACACTCTGAGACGAGTTGCAACACTCTGAGACGAGTTGCAACACTCTGAGACGAGTTGCAACACTCTGAGACGAGTTGCAACACTCTGAGACGTCTTGCAACACTCTGAGACGTCTTGCAACACTCTGAGACGTCTTGCAACACTCTGAGACGTCTTGCAACACTCTGAGACGTCTTGCAACACTCTGAGACTACTTGCAACACTCTGAGACTACTTGCAACACTCTGAGACTACTTGCAACACTCTGAGACATCTTGCAACACTCTGAGACGTCTTGCAACACTCTGAGACGTCTTGCAACACTCTGAGACGTCTTGCAACACTCTGAGACGTCTTGCAACACTCTGAGACGTCTTGCAACACTCTGAGACTACTTGCAACACTCTGAGACTACTTGCAACACTCTGAGACTACTTGCAACACTCTGAGACTACTTGCAACACTCTGAGGCGAGTTGCAACACTCTGAGGCGAGTTGCAACACTCTGAGGCGAGTTGCAACACTCTGAGACGACTTGCAACACACTTGAATTTTTCTGCAACACGCTTGAATTTCTTTGCAACGCGCTTGAATCTCTTTGCAACACGCTTGAATCTCTTTGCAACACGCTTGAATCTCTTTGCAACACGCTTGAATCTCTTTGCAACACGCTTGAATCTCTTTGCAACACGCTTGAATCTCTTTGCAACACGCTTGAATCTCTTTGCAACACGCTTGAATCTCTTTGCAACACGCTTGAATCTCTTTGCAACACGCTTGAATCTCTTTGCAACACGCTTGAATCTCTTTGCAACACGCTTGAATCTCTTTGCAACACGCTTGAATCTCTTTGCAACACGCTTGAATCTCTTTGCAACACGCTTGAATCTCCTTGCAACACGCTTGAATCTCTTTGCAACACGCTTGAATCTCTTTGCAACACACTTGAATCTCTTTGCAACACACTCGAACCTCTTTGCAACACACTCGAACCTCTTTGCAACACACTCGAACCTCTTTGCAACACACTCGAACCTCTTTGCAACACACTCGAACCTCTTTGCAACACACTCGAACCTCTTTGCAACACACTCGAACCTCTTTGCAACACACTCGAACCTCTTTGCAACACACTCGAACCTCTTTGCAACACTGGAATCTCTTTGCAACACACTTGAATCCCTTTGCAACACAGTTGAATCTCTTTGCAACACAGTTGAATCTCTTTGCAACACAGTTGAATCTCTTTGCAACACAGTTGAATCTCTTTGCAACACAGTTGAATCTCTTTGCAACACAGTTGAATCTCTTTGCAACACAGTTGAATCTCTTTGCAACACAGTTGAATCTCTTTGCAACACAGTTGAATCTCTTTGCAACACAGTTGAATCTCTTTGCAACACAGTTGAATCTCTTTGCAACACAGTTGAATTTCTTTGCAGCACACTTAGATTTCTTTGCAGCACACTTGATTTTCTTTGCAACACACTTGAATCTCTTTGCAACACGCTTGAATCTCTTTGCAACATGCTTGAATTTCTTTGCAACACAGTTGAATCTCTTTGCAACACAGTTGAATATCTTTGCAACACAGTTGAATATCTTTGCAACACAGTTGAATCTCTTTGCAACACACCTGAATTTCTTTGCAACACACTTAAATTTCTTATATATATATATATATATATATATATATATATATATATATATATATTGATATATATATTTTCTAAACATTATTACTTTGTTTTTAGGAGTGACCTGGATAAAGAATATATTGTGCCAAAGATTTATCGAAAGCCTATACTGAAATTTCTTAAGTTTGCAGAACTCAAATTGGGTAAAAAAGATTTAATGAAATTGCGAAAGTTTGAGTAAGTGCAGAATTAACAATTTATAATAGATATATGTATATTTAAAATTAATATTAAATAATAATTAAATCATCAGATATGCAATTGAAAGAAAATATAAAAATTAAAAAAAAATGGAATCAAATCTGACAATTTATAATTCACTAGCTCTTGGTCCATTAATATTTAGACAAACCAGTCATGATTCAAAATAAACAGTAGCAATTTTTATGTAAATAACTATATATTAATTATTGCTACTTGCCTTAAGGCAAATACTCACTTACACCTAGTTTAATCAACAATTTTGCAGGAAATTATATGATGTCAATGGAATCGGCATGACGAGAGATAATTACCTCTTTTATTGCACGTGCCTGATGTGGATGGAAGAAATTACAGAAGACAGAGAACTTCGGGTAATTAATATATATATATATATATATATATATATATACCCATAACTTCTATTAATAATAATTTTTATTCCTTAAAGAAATATAACATGGAAGCTGTAACCATGACCGTGTCTCCCAGTCCCATGAATGCAAATGCCACTCTCGAAGTGCCAGGTTTGGCAGAAAAGAGACCCTCTCTGGTGGTCGGGGACCGGGCACATGTTAGAATCCATCAGGAGGATCCGACTAAATACAGAGGCTGTCGCATCTACGAAGGAGTCATTAGTAAAGTTCTAGACACTGCTATTGAAATCGATGAATTTAATAAAGAGTAAGGCTTTAGATTATTCATACAACATTAGTTGTTGAAGCTGGGGAAAAAAAGAATTGCAAAATGTATGTATTGATGTTTGTTGTTTTTTAGCTGAGTGCGGTGGTTAATTCGCTTGTGGTAATTAAATTTTTTAAGTTATTTTAAATGAATAACACTTTGCTTGAGTAATATACTAATACTGCAAAAAGTAATTTAGTCCGTTTGTAGCACCTGTTTTTTTTTTTAATTTGAATTTAGTAATTTATTTTGGAAAGAAAGTCTTAAAAGACTTCCAACAAGGTTGTGTTAATGTCCCATGTTCTTAGAAAGGGTGAATAAAAAAAATCTGAGTGTTTTGCAAGTCATGTGAGAGTGTTGCAAGTGGTCTGGGTGTGTTGCAAGTCATCTGGGTATGTTGCAAGTCGTCTGGGTGAGTTGCAAGTCGTCTGGGTGAGTTGCAAGTCGTCTGGGTGAGTTGCAAGTCGTCTGGGAGTGTTGCAAGTCGTCTGGGAGTGTTGCAAGTCGTCTGAGAGTGTTGCAAGTCGTCTGAGAGTGTTGCAAGTCGTCTAAGGGTGTTGCAAGTCGTCTGAGAGTGTTGCAAGTCGTCTGAAGGTGTTGCAAGTCGTCTGAGAGTGTTGCAAGTCGTCTGAGAGTGTTGCAAGTCGTCTGAGAGTGTTGCAAGTCGTCTGAGAGTGTTGCAAGTCGTCTGAGAGTGTTGCAAGTCGTCTGAGAGTGTTGCAAGTCGTCTGAGAGTGTTGCAAGTCGTCTGAGAGTGTTGCAAGTCGTCTGAGAGTGTTGCAAGTCGTCTGAGAGTGTTGCAAGTGTCTGAGAGTGTTGCAAGTCGTCTGAGAGTGTTGCAAGTCGTCTGAGAGTGTTGCAAGTCGTCTGAGAGTGTTGCAAGTCGTCTGAGAGTGTTGCAAGTCGTCTGAGAGTGTTGCAAGTCGTCTGAGAGTGTTGCAAGTCGTCTGAGAGTGTTGCAAGTCGTCTGAGAGTGTTGCAAGTCGTCTGAGAGTGTTGCAAGTCGTCTGAGAGTGTTGCAAGTCGTCCCTGGGCATGTTTTGCAAATCGTCTGAGAGTGTTTCAAATCGTCCCTGGGCATGTTTTGCAAATCGTCTGAGAGTGTTTCAAATCGTCCCTGAGCGTATTTTGTATGTCGTCTGAGAGTGTTTTGTATGTCGTCTGAGAGTGTTTCAAATTGTCTCCGAACGTGTTTTACAAGTCGTCTCCCAGCGTGTTCTTCAAGTCGTCTCCGAGCGTGTTTTTCAAGTCGTCTCCGAGCGTGTTTTTCAAGTCGTCTCCGAGCGTGTTTTTCAAGTCGTCTCCGAGCGTGTTTTTCAAGTCGTCTCCGAGCGTGTTTTTCAAGTCGTCTCCGAGCGTGTTTTTCAAGTCGTCTCCGAGCGTGTTTTTCAAGTCGTCTCCGAGCGTGTTTTTCAAGTCGTCTCCGAGCGTGTTTTTCAAGTCGTCTCCGAGCGTGTTTTTCAAGTCGTCTCCGAGCGTGTTTTTCAAGTCGTCTCCGAGCGTGTTTTTCAAGTCATCTCCGAGCTTGCTTTAAACAGTCTCAAAGTTTGTTGTAAATTGTCTGAGTGCAAGTCTTCCGACTGTGTTGAAAGTTGTCTGAGTGTATTTTAAGTTATATGAATGTGTTGCAAGTTATGTGATTGTGTTGCAAGCTGCTTAAAAGTATTTTGAGCTATCTTAATGTGTTGTAAGCTTTCTGAATGGGTTTTAAGCGGTCTGTTTTATAAATTGGCTCTAGCACCTGATTAAAATGGTAATTATAAGACGCCATGAATTGCGAATTATGATGCTATAGTAATTATGATGCGATTATAAGTTTTGGATAAAATCGTACCAAGTTAACTACTAAAAAAACTTTTTTGTGAGCTACACACCAAAATACCAACTTATGCAATTTATAATAGCTTCAAATACTCACCAATGCCAAAAAAGTATAACTACTTCACTTCACACACACATTTTTTTTGTTTTGTCTCACTTTCTTTTTTGATAATAAAGACTAATGTTTTTGCCTGATATTTTGAATCAACTATGATAATATATTTTCATTTTAATTTGAATATATTATTTTTTAGTTTCCTCGATGAAGTAACAAGCAAGACGTTGGTGGACGTCAGATTCATCATGTCTCGTCTCAGATATCAACGGATACACAGGGCTCTGTCTTATTATAACAATTTTGTTGACAGGCTATTTCCACGAGCTTTCGATAGACAGAAGGTTCAGAATGAAAATTTTATTAGGTAATTATGAAAAAGTTTTAAATAGAAGTATGAAAATTTAAAAAATCGTTTTGTTACAAATATTTGAGAATATTTCGAAATTTTCAAAAAAAATTGAATATTTTCAAAAAATTTCAAATTCTCAAGAAATTAAAAAATTCTTATCGAATATTTTAAAAAAAAATTCAAATTCTCAAGAAATTAAAAAAAAAAATTTTTTACAGAAATTTAAAAAAATTTGAACTTCTAAAAAATTATCAAAATTTTGGAAGCAATTCCTAATAATCAAAAAAATCGTTACATACACACAAGTTGTTTGTTATTTATTTAAAACTCTTATTATTATTTTCTTCTTTTCATTCCTCGAATGTTTAATTAAGGTACGGAAAGTTCCAGCAATTTGCCTTAAGGCACGATGCCATGCACTACTATTCTAATTTTAATTTCATTATCATTTCAGATCAAGAGCTCATGGTTCAGGAGATGCAAATAGTAGCAAATCAGTAAATTATGATGACACGAGTACTAGTATATGGTAAATGTTTTTGCTTCATTATTAAAAATAATCTTAAGCGCATTTCATATAATTTCCGAAGTGGAACTTCTTCAAACATTACTAGTTGTAAAAAACAAAACTTTTTATAAGAATTTTTACAAATAACATGATGGACAGGGAGACCGATACAAATATAATTAGATAGAAATATAGATAGTTGAAACATTGACAGGTTAGAGAGGTAGCCAGGTAAACAAATCAAATAAATTGTGGATTACTATATTATCGATTACTTATAATTATCGCGAAATCTATGCAACTAACAACTATTTTTTAACTTAATTGTCATCTTGTACAATAGTAAAGGTCTACCTCAATTGCGTGTGAACTTTTTTTATTGAAGTAAAACTTCTTTAGGCGCGACATGGGTGTAAATCGACATGGGTGTAAAGTAATCGCTTGCATGATTCGCGCTTACGACGCTAGTTAATTTCACCTAGGTTGTGTTTCATGCAAATTAGACGATTGCGACATGCAAATGGACAATTTGGAATGTTTGACCAAATTATAAATGTGCCTGTTGACATTAATAATATGGTTAATTTATTACCTCGTAATATTGATGATGATCATTGCATTAACGTTCACATAAAAAAGCAAACGATTCATAGATCCAGCCATGTGCAGGGCTTGATAAATAAAACAAATATAAAAGTATGGCTTCAATTTGTTAGGCAAGACGGATATTACAGCTGTTCAAGGAATGAGATCATATCGTCAGCGAAAAAGTAAAAAAATACAAACAGTAAATGAATGTATGTTAATTTTAATTACATGAAGTTCTTCAAACACAATTGTTACAGGATGAGTGAAGTTACGAAAACAATATTTGTTTAGGCGTTGTTTAACATAATCCACTGTGTGAATGAATATTATAGAATTTATTAATCAGCAATTACTTTAAAACGATCATGTCATATTTCAAGTACGACTTTGATTACATTATTGTTTGTAAATATTATACATATTTTTAATGTAATCATAACTATATAATTTATAATTTATCATTATATAAATGTGTATAATGATTGACGACACTAATAAATGTGTGCATCACGAGTGTTACCATATTACTAATAAACATTATTCAAAATTTTTATATGATGTAATTATTTTTACTCAACTTAAATTTGCTACTTTATACAGTAGCAAATAAGTTTTACTTCAATCGCGTGGTTTTTTTTTTTTTTTGTTTTTACTTTTTTTACTATATATATATTTATCTGCAGTAATGGTATCCCAAATGGTGAAGGCGAAAATTGGGAAATCTCAACGTCACCCAAGAAAAAGCAAAGAAATAGAATTTACAGGGAAAACAGAAGTAACAGTACTAGCAAATGGATTACTGAATTCGAGTAAGTCAAGTTTGTAACTGATAATTATAGTATTTAATAATTAATTTATAAACATTTAATACTCTTCAAATATTTCATTTTAGTACGAGAAGTTCCAGCAATTTCCACTACTTACAATTTTCGTTTATATTTTTTCTATTTCAGTTACATGAACAAGCTAATTTGTGACAACAAGGAACAGAAAGTGGCCATCGAGAACATTGTGAACAAATCTTCAGGCATTGCTCCTTATATTCTATTCGGGCCTCCTGGTACAGGCAAAACTGTAACGATTGTCGAAGCTATTGTGCAAATAATCAAACACGTTGAGAACCCGAAAATATTGGTCTGTGCACCTGCAAATATGGCATGCGATATGCTTACTTGTAAATTGAGACCGTACTTTAATCGAGGGGAACTGATTCGGATACATTCGGCTAACAGAGAATTGTAAGTGGAAACTGTAATTGTTAGAAATATATGAATATATATATATATATATATATATATATATATACACACCTAAGTCTGTTTTTACACGGTAGATTGGTTCCAGAAGAAGCCGTGTAAAAAAAAAAAGTGTAATAAAAGACATTGATCTTATACAAAAATGGGTGATTTGTTCCTAATCTCTAAAACCTATTAAAATTAGTGAAAAACAAGAATTTCACAAAATATTAACACGTTTCAATTGCTCTGACCAGTAAATTTTATTGTATGCACGTAAAGGGAATTCCCCTAAATTGTTTGTACGCGCTAAAGGGGAATTCACTTAAATCTTTAAGCTAGTGTTCGCAAACTATCGATACTATAGATGGTTTCAGACTTTTTTCTTTCATAAATACTTTTTTGTGATATGAACATACTTCGCAAAAATTAAATTTGACAAAAAAATTCAAGTACATAAAATTTCAAATCGTGCTAAATGGAATAAAATCGTGTAAAAAAATTAAAAGTATTCAATTTTCAAACCGTGTTATATCAAAACCGTGTACAAAAAGACCGTGTAAAAACAGACTTAGGTGTATATCATATCTTATATATAAAATTCTTCTGTATGGGTGTATGATTTGATACTTCTTCTAAGCGGTTATTCAGATTTTGATAAATCTTCCTGAAGTTTGTTAAGGAATTTTTTTAGGATTTTTTGAATTATAGAAATATAGTTAGATTGTAGAAATAAATGGAAAAAATTACAAAAACCCGCTTATTATTGTTTGACCTTGAAAATATTTAAGGCATAGTTTGACATTAAAAACAAATGAAGACTGTCATTTGCCAAACATTTCTATTCACTTATGAGTCTAGACAATATTGGAATATGAATAATGAAATCACGATTATGAATAAGAAAAATGTAATGCCTACATTATTATTGCCGAAAAGCAGCTGAGATGAGCCAAAAATTAAAATAATATAAGATACAGTATATAGTTTGGCAGATGAACAGTGTGCGCATGTTTGTGAATATACCCTTCATTAATAATTTGACTGATTGTTATCTTTTACCTAATGCAGTCGTGTTTTTGCCTTACTTTACTATCACAATACAAAAAAAATTACTTACTCAAAAAATTATTTAGAAGTTTCATTGTGTCAAAAATTCATATGTTTGGCATTGGTTACGGAATATTTACTCAAGTCAATGGAGCGTTTTGGGTCTGAATTTATGTACTGTGCTCTAATTTGTATGAAATTTTGGAATTAGGTTCATCTTACTATCAAGTTCAAAAGTGAAAATAATTTAGGCCCTTTTGCCGATTCCCGGGGGGATGACATTTCTTTTCATCGGTATCGATAAAAGAACTAATTCTAAGAGAAAAATGTTTTTAGTTTTTCAAAAAGGCAAATACTTTTCAAGTTACTGGCTACTAAAAATTTGTTTTTTTTTGCGTGTTTCATCGTTTTTTGCAAATATCTCCAAAAATATACATTTAAACGAAAATCATGTAATGAACAAAATTATATCAATTAAAATCTTAATAAATCAGTGTTTTATAAAGTGTTTTAGGAACAATATTAAGCTAGATATGAAAATGGGATTTTATAGTGCTCAAAATAAGCTTTAAAATCAGTACTTCCGCTTGTAAAATGAGTGAGCTATCATGCAAATAAAATATGCATACTATGTTTTTTTCATTTAAATCAAATAGTTTTTAAGTGCCATTTCCACCAAAATTAAAAATAATCATATTCCATCTAGAATTAACTTGGTTTAAGAGATCTTCACGGATTCTAGAAAATACCACAACTTTAGTACAAACGATTTTCAAAAAGATCATCATTTCATGAAAAAAAATCTATTTAAAAAAAAACTACCAATTTCTCATTATTATATCTCTGAAAGAATAAAAGATACGTATAAAGGTATATAGAAGAAATTTCAAGGAAATTTTAGTCAGAAAAAGACTAATTATTACTTTTTATTATTTTTTTGTTACACAAATATTGATAGAGTTATGATTGTTTAAAAAAAGTGCGCGGATGTCCAACCAGAATGTCTTTCGAGCCCTTTAACCCTTCGCCGTTTCAAAATAAGAGAATTCACGGTAAAATTTATAATAGAGAAAGTTGTAGGTCATTTCATTACCTTTAAAATAGTGTATTACAAGTTCTGATAAAATCAGATTTAAAAGAGTTATAATCCAATTAATTCCGGGGGTGGTGACGGAGTGCAAATTGTTTTCACTTCTGAACTTAAGATAAAGATTAGCCTATTTCTAAAATATCAAGCAAATTGGAGCACAGTAAAAAAACTCGAAGGGCACACGTTTTTTTCTCTCTATTTACTGCAATAATTTTGTTGGTCGTAGGTTGAATAGAGCACATGTGAACAGGATTTGACAAATTAATTCACTTAAAATATGAACTTAAGTAATAACGTATATCGAATTATTATTAAGAAAAATGTAATTAAAATATTAAAATTACTAAAAACCACTTAAAATATGGTACGAAATTATAAAAATTATAAGCAACATTATTGGAGCATTTATTTCGGGTGGAAAAATCCAAAGTGATAATGTATCTTTACCACGAATGCTATATATTAATTCTTTCTGAATTTGCTATATTTTTTAAAAGATTTCAATTTTCAACACGTGTATCTTATGCTATGACCATAAATCACAAAGGCAGACGATGAATTTATGTGTGATAAATTTGGAAAATCGATGTTTCAGTCGTGAATAAACAAAAAATCATTTATTTATACATCTACATCTACATGTGTGACTAAAAATAAAGGATAACCCTTGGCATTAAAATAAATTGAGCTATTTGAAATAAATTTGTTCAATAAATTGTAGTGTATATTACTAATATACTATTTTATTGAACATATTTTAATATTTGTTAAATGGATAATTAAAGTGTTAACTGTGGGAATTGAGAATCATAATTTTATTTGAAGCAGTTCTACATTTAACATCACTTATATATTTGTGCAAATAGTAATTCGAAAAACAATAATTATTATTTTTAATTGAATGGTAAATATTAGTATAGGATATTAAAAAATTGTAGACGTGGGTACAGGACAATGTCTGTAGTGTCATCTAGTATATATATATATATATATATATATATATATATATATATATGTATATGTATATGTATATACTTATATTTTTTCAGTGATTCAATACCCAAAGAGATATATCCGTACAGCAATTTGGAATTAGATCCGATAAATGGAAAAGCATGCGGGGCTGTCCAAGTCAAAACTTCTGCATTGTGTAGTGGCAATTACAAAGTTGTTGTCTGTACGTTGATGTTGGCAGGAAAATACACAAAGTAAGTGATACATATAAAATTTTCGTGTTATGATGTTAGTGATTATGCTACTCTGAAACGGCTTGACTGATTTTTACAACTACATTCATGAGAATCAGCTTATATCTAGGAGACTAATAACAAGGAGACCCTCAGATTTACTCCTTTCCTATTTTGATAAAACTACACATGGTGATAGTTTATAGTCAATTTACACATCTTAAAATATTATAGGCCTGTGAGAAAGGATTTAATTATAAAAACTAGTAATGCATTATGCCTTAAGGCAAAATGCTGAAACTTGCTTAAAAAAATGTTCAGAATTTTCAAAAAAAAAAAATCAAAATACAAAAAAAATTAAATTAACAAAAAATCAAAATTTAAACTAGTAGTGAGAAATTTTAAACGTTTTCAAATATTTTATTACAAATACTTTCATTATTTTTGCTATCTTGTTATATCTGAGCTGAAATTAAATGTAAATCATAAATCAATCAATTTATCTTCAGAACATTAACAATTGTCATTTAATTTCGAATTCAATTTCAAAAAAAAAATAGTTGCCTAATTTACACAAAATTGAAAAAGTGCTCCTGTATAGTCACAGTCTAAACGCATTTGCAAATAATTCTGTGCGACATTTTCACTTATACTGTGCTTAGCTTGGCGGCATTTTCACATTTTTACAAAATTTCACAAAAGTTTTCACAAAATTAGAAAAGTGCTGCAGTGCTTAGCCTGGGTATTTGTTTAAATTTCTAATCCAAAATTACAAAAATATTTCATGGAAAATAAAAAAAATGTTTTGGAAAAAACTTGAAAAAAAAAGCTTTTTTTATTTTGAAATATTTTGGAAATTTTGAACTTTTTATAGTTATATTAATAGCAAGAAAATCGAAACTAAAATTTTTTGCATTTCTTCACGTTTTAGAGGTTTCTGAACATGTTGGCATACTTTATAAAAAATGTGTGTAATGTGTGCGTGTGTTTGTATGTATGGATATACACATACACACATACATATGGTAAATCAGTTTTTAAGAGAACGGAGTGTCCGATTTTAATATTTCAAAAAACATTTTAAACTGATTAAATTTTTGGGAAGGCAGGTCTAGCGGTTTCGGTAAAAAAAGTAAAAAAAATGTAATTTGGCGGTCAAAAATGATCATTAGACATATGTACATCCTATTATCAGGTATTTTATAAAGATTTTAATAAAAATTACAAATTTTGTGTACATTTATATGGGTTCCGTACCAATGTTAACGCGTAAGACCATGCGGCGCTTACGCGCTTTGATATTTCGTCTCCAGATCACATGCAACGCGATTGCTTAAAAAAACATTCAAAATTTTCAAAATGAATCAAAATACAAAAAAATTAGATTTTTCAAAAAAGGGGCCGTTCAAGTATTACGTAAGCACTATAGGAGGGCGGGGGGGGGTGTTATTGATTTGCTTATTTTGGTGACAGCTTTGCTTACTTTTGCTGACAAAGAGGGATGGGGGGTAAATAATTGTACTAAATCTGCTTACGTAATACTTTAACGATCCCAAAGTCAAATTTTCAAAAAAATCAATTTTTTTCAAAAATTTCAAATTTCTCAAAAATCTAATTTTTTCAAAGTTTTGCAAAGTTTTTTTTAATTATTTAGTTTTCGGTAAGGAAAGTTCCAGCAATATTCCTTTAAGGCACGATGCCATTGACCACTAGTTCCTCACTTTCTTTCTTTCAGACCGACTAAGTTTTTGAGAGACGAAGATCTTAAATTCACACACCTTGTCATTGACGAAGCAGCTCAGTCTATGGAAACGGAGACTCTGATACCATTGGCTGGACTCTTGAAGGAAGACGGTCAAATGATATTGGCTGGTGACCCTAAACAACTGGGACCCATCTGCCAGAGCCATACCGTTAAGAACATTGGACTGGGTAAATTAGATACTGTTCTATTTATATATATATATTATACTAGCAAACCCGACGAACTCCGTTTCGCCACCAGATGGTTTCGCGAGAAAGATGAAGAAATGTTTTGTTTGTTTTATATTTGAAAAGGAAAAATTTGATTTTATTACACAACAGTAATGAATTTATTTCGATTACAAAAATGAAGTGTTTTTTAGTTGAACTTCTCTAAGTAAATGAAAGTGAATCCGCAAATTATCCGTTTCATTGAAGTGCTCTTTGGTAAACCACATTTTTTGTTTTCTGGTCTGACGTTAAGGGGGTATTCTACTGTAGAATTTTGAAAAAATCGAAAAAAAATTTCTTTCATATTTTCAAAGTATAGTTATTCAAAAATATGTCATTAAAAGGATTTTTCAAAATTACTATTATTTCCTGAGTTATATCCGTTTTAGTGACTTGGCCTCGGTTCGGGTCCGACCGAGTCTCAAAACTTTGAACGCGTTTTTCTCGGAACTACTTTTTTCGAGCTGGCGGTAAGGATATCTCGAGTTCTAATTAACCGATTTACTTCAAATTTGAAGAGGATCTTCTCTATACATCGCTTTATCGCATGGACCTTTCCCAAAACTATAACTTTTCATTTAGTATTTTTAAAAAATTCGGAATTGTTAAAAAAAACATGAAAAAAAAAATTTTTTTTCAAACTGCCGCCATTCTAACAAAAAAATTTTTTTTAACTTATCCAAGGTTCATACGATAGCGGCATCTATAATAATTAAGAATCCATCTATTTTTTAACTTAACACAAACAAAGCGGATCGTTTCCGAACTCGTGAACAGGCAACGTATAACTGCCCATGTGAAAAACATAGATTTTTTAAATAATCTATTTGAAATTTATCCCGCAAACACTAAACGATTGGCCTTGAGACTTGTTATTGCGAACGCAAGGCGAACTGGAAATTGCAATCGTTTGAAGTCAAACGGAAGACCAGTCGCAATCATTGGTATGTCACCAAATCGCCAGCAATTTTTGATTGAATGGTGAAATTCAATGCGTGCACATCACTATTGTTTGCGGCAAGAATTGCTCGTTGACTTAACCAAGCATAATTCTGATAATTGTCACTAATGTTATTACTCGAATTTTTAATTACGGCTAGTGTTAGAAGTATCGAGGCAAAGTATCGATACCGAGTACTGAAAAAAAATCGCGACAAAGCATCGATACCAAAAAAGAATCGCGGCAAAAGTATCGATACTACTCAGTATCGAATAATGAGTACTTTTCACCAAAATTAAACGTTAGTGCAAGAGAGATCTAAAATTCTCTACAGATCGATTTTCCAATATTATGATAAATTCTATTGCCTGTATTTGATGCTGTTAAATCAGCGTCATTTTCAATATTTTGAGAAGTTTAAAACAATAATTTTTCGATACTAATTTCAAATTCGATTTATATCAAAAGAAAAATATTCAATAATTAAATAATACTATGGTTTTGCTAATTTATTTCAAAAGGAAAAATACTCATTAATTAGAAAATAGTATCGTTTTGTGACGAAAGTATTTATTTATGAATTTAGTATCGGCTAATTTATTTCAAAAGAAAAAATACTCAATAATTAAATAACAGTATCGTTTTGTGACGAAAGTATTCATTTATAATATTAGTGTCGGCTAATTTATTTCAAAAGGAAAAATACTCATTAGTTAGAAAATAGTATCGTTTTGTGACAAAAGTATACATTTATGAATTTAGTATCGGCTAATTCATTTCAAACGGAAAAATACTCAATAACTAAATAATAGTATTGTTTTGTGACGAAAGTATTCATTTACGCCGCGGCAATTTCGCAGACAAGATTTTTCCATAAAATATGCAAAACTTTGATAAACGTTGATAAACATATGTTTTCGAAAGTAACAGAAATTATATTATGGACATACAATAATCTTGAACTCTAATTCTTTTATTGGCTTCGAACTGGGGGCATTCATATTCTTTAACAAAAACCATATCGCACTCGACTTATCGCCTGTTTCGTTCGTTATCTATGAAGAGCGGAGAATGAGTGGTGTTCATAAAATGCGGTCGAACTTTTGGTGGGGTCAAAAAATATAGCCGATACTTTTTTAGTAGAATCGGCGCAAAGTATCGATACCGCCAAAAGAATCGGCCCGAAGTTACTCAGTATCGATACTATCGTTCTAACACTAATTACGGCACGGGAAGTTCCAGCAATTTGCCTTAAGGCACGATGCCATACACCACTAGTATTTAAATTTGTATCATTATTGTTTAGGTATATCGTTGATGGAAAGGTTAATGTTGACCAATAAACTGTATGAAAGCAAAGCCGGACATAGAGATGAAAAGTACATCACGAAACTGGTTAAGAACTTCCGTTCGCATCCTGATATTATTAAAATACCAAACAAATTTTTTTATGATAACGAGCTGCAGGTAATACCAAAATCTAATTATCCCAAGTATAAATTTATCAGGTTTTCTTATTATTTACAGCCTTGTTCGAAAAAAGCATTATCGGATCCTATTGTCAAATGTGACGTGTGGGATGAGTTATTATTCGGTGGAGAAGCTATCGAATTTTATGGAGTTTCGGCTAGTGAATGTAGACAAGGACACTCACCGAGGTAGGATGAAATATATGATAGAGTATAAAAAAAATAGTAAGTAGATGAAACTGAACTTTGTTGATGTTGAAATGAAGATAGAGAGTGGGAGAAATTGATTTTTAGTGATTTTTGTTTCATCAAAAGCATTTTCCACGCAATCTATCATATTTTAAGACCATTCATAATATTTTTTGAGAATATACAACATTTTTTGTGAATATACAATATTTTTAGGCAATATACAACGATTTTGAACCTTTTACAATATTTTTGAACCAGCAACAATATTTCTAAATTTTTTGCTACACTTTTAA